GCAGAGCTGGGATCCGGACCCAAGCAGTACTGCTCCCCGCCCCCCGAGATTCATTCATCTGAAGCAGAACCCCGGGAATGATTTCCTCATCTCTGCAAGAGGCCATGTGGGCCGGGACCAATGGTTGCTTGGCTCCTAGAAGGGATTCTAGCTGATAAAGGTAACTGAGATAGTAGAAAGATGAGATTGATACCAAAGAAAAAGGATGCGTCGATGAAGAGGTGATTCTAGGGAATTTCTTCCTAGGAGTCATTAAGTCGCTCATTCATTAATTCCATGCTTCCATCTAGTGAGCTCTAGAGTTCTTTACAGTGGTAAAGAACCCGAGCTCTGGAGCTCTGAGTCCAAACCCCGGCTCTGCCGTGATTCGCTGTGTGATCCTGAGGAAGTGGATTCACTTCTCTGAGCCTCAGACCCTTAATCAATAAAACACCCTCCCAACACACACGCGCGCGCACACACACGTACACATATGTTCACATACATACTTGCTTCCTCTGCAACATAGTATAGCAGCCAAAATTTAGGTTCTGGAGGTAGGCAGGCTTCAGTTGAAACTTTGCGACCTTGAGTTGAATTAAATAGTCTCTTAGTAAATCCAGACTATCGACAGCATTTACTTTATAGGGTTGTTGGAGTATTATCGGACACATTGTACTAGTCAGGATTCTCCAGAGAAACAGAACTCTGTGTGTGTGTGTGTGTGTGTGTGTGTGTGTGTGTGTGTGGCAGAGAAGGAGAAAGGTTGAGATTTATGTCAAGGAAGTGGTAAATCTGAAATCTGCAGGGTAAGCTGGCTGGCTGGAGACCCAGGGAGGACTTGCTGTTCGAGTCCAGAAGGCAGCTTGTTGGCAGGATTCCTTTTTGCTCAGGGAAGGTCAGTCTTTGTTCCATTAAGGTCTTCAACTAATTAGGTGAGGCCCACCCACATTATGGAGGATAACCTGCTTTACCTAAAGTCTACTGATTTATTTTTTATTTTTTTAATGTATGTGTTTATTGACAGAGAGAGAGAGAGAGAGAGAGAGAGAGAGAGACTCCCAAGCAGACATGGATGGCCCTGGGACCGTGACCTGAGCCAAAATGAAGAGTCAGATGCTTAACCCACTGAGAGCCACCCAGGCGCCCCTAAAGTCTACTGATTTAAATGTTAAATCGCATCTAAAAAATACCTTCAACAAAACATCCGGAATACAATAAACGTTATTTATCGCTATTCCTTCTCTCCCTTGCCGGGTGCTTGGCTCCAGTACCAAAGTTACAAAGATCTAATGGGCTGCCTCTTCCTCACAGTAGAAGAGGTAGACAGGACACACACGATGTAATTGACACACACGATGTAATTGACACACACAATGTAATAGACACACACCATGTAATAGACACGGGGGAGGGGCCTGTACAAACAGCTTCGGATACATTTACTGCGCCTGGAGGATTAAGGAGGGTTTCCTGGAGGAGGTGACCTTATCTGGGACTTGAAAGCTAAATAGGAGCCTGCAAGGCAGACGGGCAAAGAAAAGATAAAAAGCCATCCCAGCGAGGGAGCAGCAGATGTAAAGTGCTCTAGTGTAGAGGAAGCAACATCAAGGAAGCGGTGTGTGTTTTTGTAGCGGGAAGGTGCTGGGTCTGGTGTTAGTGTTAGATGGGGGGTAGCGAGAGCAGGAGGCGAGGCTTTACACAGGGGCAGAGCCTCTGAGATCCTGCTGGACCTTGATGCCCCTCCAAGGACCTGGCATTTTCTCTTATGGACGGAGGGAAACCGGCGAAGAGCTTTAAGTAAAGGCAAGGACTGAATTATACATAAGATGCTCTCAGCGAAGTGAATCCTAAGAATTTAGGTTGGACGTGAGAAAGAATTTCTGATGACGGGGGACCCTGGGGATTTCTCACAGCGGAAATCGGGGAGACGGTTGTTGATGCTGAAGGAGCCAGTGGACACAGCTCCTTTGGTGGAAATGACAGCTGAGCACTGAGAGTTGTTCCTGATGGGAACAGTTTAGCCATAGGACTTGGGACACATTCCGGGACACTGATCCTGCCGACCTCGGACGGCGATCCGGGACGCGTGCGTGCGCATGTACGAGGGTGAGGACAGGTGGGGCGGTGAAGGGAGGAGGCGTACCCGGCCATCCCTCCACAGGAAATGAATCTCAAGAAACCGGAATCCTCTCCTAAGAATAAAGCAGAGACAGGGATGGTGAGCACCAGAACCTCTTGCTTTCGGAGCCTGAGGGAATCTCTTGCTACCCACACAACTTGGAAGTACCGACCTGGAGTCTTGTCCGCCGCGGACAAGACCTGCACCGATCCTCATGTGCAGTCAGGCCGAGAAAGAGAAACGACTCCAGAATATGCTCATTCAGGCCGGGGCAGGGGGTTCAGAACTCCCTTCCCAGCGGATAATCCAGAAATAGCATGCGAGCCACACAAAGTCTTAGCCCACGGCCCCGTGAACGGCTTTCCTAGTAACCCCAGAAGGGCAAGTGAGGGGTATCCATTTCAGGAAGGGGAAGGGGCAGGAAGGGCAGCCCCCTCTCAACTCGGTCCCCGCCAGCCCCTTGGAAAGTGGCTTTGTCCAGTGTTTGAGGCGCAGGGCTAAATATAGCCCGGGCTGGGGGCTGAATTCAGGCTATTGAGGGAACAGGCCTCTCTGTCGCCCTGCCCCGGGCCCAGGCTGCGAAAAGCTGGAGAAGAGGAGGCTGGGAAAGGAGGGAGTGGAGGTGGGGAGACAGAGTGGGGGCCCTCCCAGAGGGCGGCGATGGGTGGGAGATAGTTGGCCCGTGGAGTTGAAAGCGGAAAATGAGGGGTGCCTGGGGGGGCTCCGTCAGCTACGCGTCTGACTTTGGTTCAGGCCATGATCTCATGGTTCGTGAGTTCAACCCCCACGTCGGGCTCTGTGCTGACGGCTCAGAGCCTGGAGCCTGTTTCGGATTCTGTGTCTCCCTCTCTCTCTCTGCCGAGGGTGCAGTATGGGGAAAATGGGGGAGGGGGGTTTCCTTACCTGGTGCTATGGGCTGAGCGGCAACACTCCCACCCCCATTCGTATGTTGAAGCCCTAATCCCTAATGTGACTATACTTGGAAATATCTCTACTTAGCCTATAAGCAGATAATCGAGGTAGAATGAGGTCATAAGGGTGGGGCCCCGATCCCTGAGGATTAGTGCCCTGATAAAAAGAGACACCAGGGGCGCCTGGGTGGCTCAGTTGGCTGAGCATCCGACTCTTGGTTTCAGCCCAGGTCATGATCTCATGGTTCGTGGGTTCGAGCCCCGTGTCGGGCTGGGTACTGATGGTGCAGAGCCTGCTTGGGATTCTCTCTCTCTCTCTCTCTGCCCCTGCCTCGCTCATGCTCTTTCTCTCTCTCTCCCTCTCAAAATTAATATTAAAAAAAAAAAAGACAGAGACCCCAAATAACTCCCTCTTGCCCCTTGCATGCGCACATGAAAGGGAAGTCCATCTGCGAGCAGAAAGAGCACGCTCGCCAGAAACTGAAATGGCTAGACCCTTGCTCTTGAACTTCTGGCCTCCGAAACTGCAAGAAAATAGATTTCTACAGTTTAAGCCACCCAGTCTGTGGCATTTTGTTATGGCGGCCAGAGCGGAGGTATCTTAGAAGCGTAACCTGCTTGCCCGTCCCCCTTACCACCCTTCAGCCATCTCTCCCAGAGCCAGCTTCCCTTCCAGAAACTTCTTTAAAGGGGAATCTTTCACTTCCTTAAAGGATGGTCACTGTGGTGACCACTCAACACTCATAAGGAAGTTCTTCTTGCGGTCTAGCCACCATCTCTACAGCTGTGACTAGGTGTGTCTAAAGGCAGGACTTCCCAACCCCTAAAAACCCAGTTCTTTCCTTTTTTTTTTTAATTTTCATTTCTTCATTTTGAGAGACAGAGAGAGAGAGAGAGAGAGAGAGAGAGAGGGAGGGAGGGAGAGGGAGAATCCCAAGCAGGCTCTGCACTGACAACACAGAGCCCAACGTGGGACTCGAACTCGCAAACCACTAGATCATGACCTGAGAGCCGAAACCAAGAGTCTGGATGCTTAACTGACTGAGCCACCCAGGCGCCCCCCCCCCCCCCTCCAAACACCTTCCTTTGTTGAAATGCCTACCAGAGACTTCGGGTAGGCACAGAGGTGCGGGTAGGGGTGGTGGACACAGCTGTCCACCCCATGGAGAGGGGGGGCAGACCCAGCCCTGGCCTCTCGCCCAGCCGCTCTTCTTAGGCACCCCTGTAGCACACGCAGCATCCCTGCTACTCAGCTTGGTACCAAACCCCACCCTGCGGAGTGTGGGCTCTGTGGCTCGTCCCCACCGGCCTGGAGTGTTTAAGTGGTGAATTTGCACAGCAGCGAGGCCAGAGGCACATTAAGGATTAACTTCCTGGCTCAGCCTTCCTGTTAGACTATTCTGTGGGCAGCCTCTGCCCAGAGACACGGTTCTGCAAAACCGCAGCCCCCTCCCAGGCCTGGGCCGCCCCTCCCCCTCCCTCCCCTTTCAGCCACCGGAGCCCCCTCTGGCGCCCAGGCAGGAGCTGTTCCTACGCCTCTCGCCAAGGCCCTTCCGGGTGTCTTCGAGCAGCTGGCCAGAGCCTGGAGGGGCCTCGGGTAGGGGGGAGGTGTGCGCGCTGCCCCTGCTCTGCTGTCTCAGCTCCCAGGACTGATGCTTCCCAGTCTAAAGGGCTAATTGGTCTGATTACCTTCTGGACGGCCCACCCGGCTGCATGCAGTTCCCAGACTGGATTTAGGGGGTTGGGGAGGACTTGAGTCCTCAGGACTTCGAGTTCCCTGCCCTAGAGGAGACAGTCCCTAACCGCTCAGGGGGCCCCAGGCTGGCGGGGGAGACGCGGCCCCTGCGCTCAGGGCTCCCACTCTGACCAGGGTTGTGGAAATGAAGGCGGGGACATCAGGGTTGGGGGAGGCAAAGAAGGGATGGTCCTGCTGGGCTGGGGCAGAAGCAGCGGGGGAAGGGGGGTGGCTGAGAGAGGCCAGGGAAGAAGAGGGCCCCGTGGCGGGGTCTAAGTGGCTTTCACTGCAGACTTCTTTTAGAAGTTACCAGGAGGGCCCCAAAGGTAGGATCTGTGCTGTCCATCCGGGGGGTCAGGAGGGTGGGGTGGGGAGGGCTCTGCCTGGCCCAGGGCTGCTCCTGGCCTTGTCCCCCCCCCCCCCAATTGACAGCCGGCCTTGGGGGGGGGGGGCCCTTAGGGCCCAGACTTGCCCAGACTGGTTCAGCCTGTCTCCCAGTAGCCGGCCTGCTGGGCCCTGGGTGCTTTCTTCCATCCCCCCAGCTCTGCTCCCCTGCCAATGCCTGTCTCACAGCCCCAAGTAAGCCAGAAAAGTCGCCCCTGTGGGGGGGTGGGGGTGGGTAGTCAGTGTGTGGAGGGGAGGGGGAGCCATTAGGGAGCTGAGTTGCTGCAGGACTAGAGGATTCTAATCGATGGGCTCATGTTATATTTATCAGCCACAGTACTTAGGCGCTGCCCTGAGCAGGACTAATGGTCTCCCCATTGGAGACGCCATTACAGGAAGTGTAGGGGGAGGGGCCCGGGTGCCGAGAGGAGACGGGGACCCGGCAAGGTTTACTTCTCCGGGTGGCCGCCCCCAGCCCCTACCACGGGGGCAGCTGTCCTGCAGGCTGCCGTCATGGAGGGGGCTTCAGGCTTTTCCTCTCCTCCACTGACTGGGAGCAACTACCCAGAATCCTCAGCCAGAGGTCACCCCAGTCACCCCCCTGCGTCCCCTTCAGTGCAGTCTCTGCCTTGACCCTTTCCGGTTTCCTTGAATGAAGCCACGCCCCCTCCACCCTCCACCGTTTGAATGACGATCACGTGGGCCAACCAAGTGGCTCCGCCTTTCCTGGGGCGGAGCCAGCAGTGGTTGCCATGGCGGTCTTTGGGGTGGTGGGTGGAAGGGGGGGGCGCGGATACTTCCTGTAACAGCCTTAATTGCTCATTTATTTAGGGCAATTAGTCCCTGGCGACCCTCCCTTCCTTGACCCCAGCGATGACTATTCTCAGCTCAGACAACATTCCACCAGGATGGGGTGGGGCCTGGTCCAGAATGAATCGGGTGAGGGGGTGGGGGGACAGGGAGACAGGGCCTCCCAAAGTCTGAGAAGCTCCCAAGTCGGAGAAGCCATATTTAGATGCTGACCTGGTCAGACCATTCCATGCCCTGTCACTGGCCCCTGCTCCCGGCATGCTCTTGGCCCTCTCTGGCCACTCATTCAGGCCTGAGGGTGGACCCACCCGTCCACACTCCCAACGCTGCTGGCCTCTGGACGCCGCACTCTCCACCAATGGCACCACTGTCTTCCTGGCCTACCCCCAGTCGGGGTTGGCTCCTGCGGGGCTTTGCGCCCTCCCTCTCGACAGGCAACTGCTCCAATAGCTGAAGCTCTGGGGGGGGGGGGGGGGTGTCCTTTTCCTGTGCGACCACCATGCACCGCGTCTCATCAGTGACTACAAAGGCCCCCTCCTTCTGCGCCTCAGATCTACATTAACGTAGCCTGCTTCCTAGAACTTCTTAGGACTACTAGGACGTTGGCTCCAGAAGGCTCTTATTGCCCTGATGGGGGACACTGAGGCCCGGAGAAAAGAAAATAAGCCCAGGCTTCCTGGGTGAGTTAGAGGCAGAGCCAGGACTAGAACCCAGTGCCCTTAATTCTCAGCCTGGTGCTCAGCGACACCGCGATGACCTCTCCTCCAAACTCCACTTAGACCACCCCTTCCTCCAGCGGGCCCCTCCTGTCTACCTTCATCGCATCCCGACAACAGAGCCCCCCCGAAGGCTTCCTATCTGGGCTCCTCAGAAACTCTCTGGTTCACACTCCAGCTCTGTTGCTTTTCCAGGCCATCGACACTTTTCCCTGCCTTCGGCACCCCTAGGTTTTCCTCCGTCCTCTGGGCCCCAGACTCTTCCTCTGTGGAGGGGCTGCTGGGGCAGCGCCTGTGGGGACTTCCAGCTCAGCCCCTTTTCCCAAAGGCCTGTTGGTCACAAGTTGAAGCAAGCCACTGGGGCCTCTAGACCCAGACTCCTTAGTTTTTCCTTTTGGGTTTGGAGCCATCTTTGTAGGCCAAGCCGCATGAGAGTCTGGAGACCTTTGTGAGGCAGGGTCCCCCTGTAAGCTGGGGACTTTTTCTCGGCCCCCTCCTCTGGGTGTACCCATCCCGAAACTTCTCCACCTCTACCAGTGCCCGCCACACCAGCCTCCCTCCCTGTCTGAGGGACAAGGGGAAGTCCTTCTTTGGTGTGGAGGTGCCCAAAGCCTTAGGGATAGGGGGTTGGGACAGGGCCTGGACTCGGCCTCGGTGTCTCCTTGGCTGCGGGACAAAGAGAGCCATGTTGGGGGTGACCTCACTCTTTGGGCATCCTCCTGCTGGACAAAGGGCTCAGTTGTTCCCCAGCCTGGAGGCAGGAGGTAGAAGGATGACACTTCAATCCTTGGACCCTCTTTAGAGACCTCGCACTCTCGGCTCGGCGTGGGGGGCGGTGGGCCAGTGCAGGGAGGCAGGAGGAGGGCCCGATCTGGATGGCAAGAGAAATGTTTGGAGTATCTGTTAAGCCCTTCCTAGAATCTCACCTCAACCTCAAGACGCCAGAGTCCACTGCTCTGAAGTTAGAGGCAAACACTCTCTACTTTCCTTTTTTCCCAGGAATGACCTCTCTTTGGGGGGGGGGGGCAGGAAAGGGGGGCTTTTCTTCTCTTCCCCAGGAGAACAGTGGTTTTCAATTTTTTTTCCCCCCCAATAGTATCAGGACCCTTCACATGAAATCTTCCTAGAAGTCTGATCGGGAAAGCAGATAAAGTGGAAACTTCTTTGGCTGAGGGGGTGGGAGGGGTGGGGCAGGAGGCAGAGGCCTCCCATCCCTCATCCCGTCCACCCCGCCTATGGCAGCATCTAAGTGGGGTGGGGGTGGGGGGAGGCCACAAAGCCTTGTTTGAAAACCACCGGTTTAAACACTTGTGTTCCTTCCTGCTCCCCAAGCATCCAGGGGCCAGGCTCCTGGAGGCGCTTGAAATCTGATTGTTAAAGAAATAGACGAATGGATGTCTCTGTCCCGTCACTTATGTGCTGTGAGGTTTTGTGCTCAGTTCTCATCGGGGCCTGGGCTGGGGCAAGACTCTCCCATGTGTCTGCTCTAGGTGTGCCTAGAGATCCTGGAGCTGTCCAGTGTCCCCAGGTGGGAAGGGCCAGAGCCAAAGACATCTGCAGGGGCTACGGAAGTAGCAAGCGAAGTGGGGACGCATGTGCAGAGATGCGCCCGGTCGGCGCACACAATCTGCCAACAGCCCGGACCCCGATGAATCGCGAAGGCGGAGCCTGAAGCGTCTCAAAGCACCGGAGGAACTCTCCACCCATCCCCCTTCCTCCTCCGCGAGGCAGGGGCCCCGGATTCTAGCCCCGGCTCTACCATTTACTGCCACGGACCCTTGGGCAAGTCACTTCCCTTCTCTGGGCCTTAGTCTCCTCCCTTGTAAAAGTGGGCGAGTAGGACTAATGGAACGCCCCAGGCCCCAGGGTGCTGAGCCGTGCTCCCACGGCGGGACAGGAACTGGGGACAAGGCCCAGAGTTGGTTGGCAGGGTGGAAGGGGAGGCTACAGAGAAAGGGCGAGACATAATCCTTGCCCCGGAAAAGGTTCATCAGGAAGTTAGAGAAGAGAAGGATGGTGACAGAGAGCCTGGCCCATCCTGCAGGGTCCCCTCTTGTGCCCTTGGCTGCACAGCTGGGCTCCTGGTTTAGATTTTCTCCCGGGGGTAGGCAAAACGTCAACTCCCTTTGTCCCCATGCTCATCATCCTTTGTCACCTTGCCCTTAGGGCCTGTGGTCCTACCTCTCCCTGAGAATGAACTTCCCCCCACCACACGCATTCTTTTCTCGTCCAGATCTCCCTGCACTTTCATAATCCTCCTCCTCCTGGAAGTCCTCCCTGACCTCCACTTCCATGTCACTCCCCGCTGGCCTGGGTGCAAAGTCCCCTGAGCTGACGGCTGTCAAGCTGCCATCATCCTTTCAATTAGAAACGTTTTTGAGGACAGGGACCCTGTCTTTTTGTCCTGGAATGTCCACTCCCTGGCTCACAGCAGGGCCCTGTGGAAGGAAGGACCCAGAGGGGAGCACTCAGCTTGGGGCTGGGGGCGAGTGGCCTTGTGTGCGCTCGGCCAAGCAAACGCAAGTCAAACTCGCCCGCAAGCACACACGCATCCAGACAGCCCGGCGCGGACACACGCACCCGCGAGCCAGCGCCCTCTCTCACGCTGCAAACCCCCACATGAGGTGGGGGGTGGGATGTGGGGGAGGAGGCGGAGGGGGCTGCCCTCCAGATGTTGTTGGAAATCCAACACGTCCCCTCCCCTCCCTCCCTCTCCCACTTCCCGTTCCATTTCCCCCTAAATATTTACTGATTTTTATTTACATTCTTTGCCCGAGGTGCCCGGCCCCTGTCAGGTCCCATTTGCTGGGCCTGCTTCCCTCCTGCCAGCTTCCCCCCCTCCTCCCTCAAATCCGGAGCCGGGAGTTGTGTGTGGTTGGTAACAGCCTCCTCCTGGCCCGTGGGTGTGGGGGGGCGGTGAAGGCAGGGGGCTGGCAGCTCTGGGCAGAGCTGTGGGGGGGAGGAGGGGGCTTGGGGACAGGAGCAGCTCACCCACACATTCCCGCCTAACCCCCAGTCTGGGATTGTTTTAGCCCCCCCCCCCCCCTTTTTTTCACAGGGACTTCTGGAAAGGACTGATGGATGCCAGATGGCAGGAGCACTGGCACCCAGGGAGGACTCTGAAGAGAGAGGAGGGAGCGCTGGGTCAGACGTCACAGGGCGTGGGGCAGGCGTGCTGGGCGACTACTCCCGAGCTGACCAACCACTCTGGGCCGCCTTACCGCCAGCCAGCGGATCAAGGAGCTTGAAGAAGTGATTTCCCGCTCTGTTCTCAGGCTCCCGGCCCCCTTGGACCCTGCCCTCCTCTTAGCCATTTCATCCATCAGTATGGGGCACCTACTACGTGCCAGGCACTGTCCCAGGTGCTGATGAGACAACAGCAGACTGTCGTCCCTAATTCTTGCCCTGTGGAGTCCGCTTTCTCGGGAGAGAATGAATGGGCTGTAAGTGCCCCGCGGAGGAAGAAGCAAGGTGAAGGGAATGGAGAGTGCACTGGGGTGGGGGGAGGGCTGTGATTTTAAATAACACCCTCAGGGGAGGCTTCCTGGAGAAGGTGACACCTGAGCAAAGCCTTGCTGGGGGGGGGGGGCGGCCAGGAGGAGGGAGACGCCTGAGAGCATGGTGAAGTGTTAGAAGACTGGCGAGGAGCGGTGGGAGTCAGGGTGGGTGGAGACAGGGCATGAAGGCAGGGAGCAGGGTCTCTGGTTTTTGTCCGAATGACATGGAGGCCTCTGGAGGGTTCTGAGAGGACAGTGATATGACCGGACAGATCAAGGTGGAGGGGTGATTCCTACCCCCCTTGTATCCTCCCTTACAGTCTGGTCACCCCACTTCTCTTTGCCGGCTGCCTTCTGCTTCTCAGCTACTCTGCCAGGCTGCCTGTGGCTTCCAGAAAGTTCCTCTGCCCCAGAAAGCCCTCCAGGATTGCTCAGGGGAGGCTGCCAGGCTCTGTCTGGGCAGTAGATGGCCTTTTCTTCATTTCTTCCCTTCCCATGAGAGAGATGCCAAAGAGAGAGATTGTGATCCCGCCCCCCCCCTCCCCGGGGCAACCCAAGGACCAGAGTGGGTGAGTCGCTTTCCCAAGGTGTCTCCTCCAAAGGCCACTATCCTGCCTCCCATGAGCCCTGCTCCCGTCACCCCAGGTTTTTCACGGATGCTCCGTCTTCTCTTTTTTTCCTTTTCTTCCTTCTCCTTCCCACTGGGTCTGTGCCCTTTCGGCAAGGGACTGAAGTCCCCCCCTCCGCTGCTTTGGCATGGGCCTGGGGAGCACCCTTTCAAGGGTAGCACTGGGCTCCCAAGGCTGAGGGCCAGGCCACCGAGGGGGAGCAGCCGCAGCGGGGACTGTGGTAGGGTTCATTGCTCTAGCTGGCACCCTCCTCTGTACCCAGGCCCTGGATACTGCCTGCTGTGTAGCAAACTCTGCTGGCGGAGCAGAGCGATGGAGAAGACGGCGTGGCTTCCCCAGCTAGACCCTGGGAGTTAGCCCCAGGGCTCCGAGTCCCTGGTCCTAGCTTGACTACCGCCTACCAGGTGGCTTTCCACCAGGGACTTCCCTCATCCGGGCCTCACTCGTTCAAACGGCAACTGTTTATTGAGAGCCTGCTATGTGTCAGCCACTGCATTAGCCTGAGGATACAGAGGGAGCAAAGACCACCTGGCTCTTGCCCCCACGGAACCCGCAATCTTGTGGGGAGCAGACGTCAGGTAAATGGCCATGCCGATGCGGTCAGAAGGACAATGGCCATCAGTGCACAGGAAAGGGAGAATGTAACGCCTTGAGAGCATATACGGAGCGTTTGAGCAGCCAGGGGAGCTGAGGGGCTTGCCCCAGGGAGGTGATGGCCAAGCTGAGACCTGAGGGAATAGAAGAATAGCCCAGGCAGAGAAAATAGTCCACGCAAAGGCCCTGTGGTAGGAGGGAGCATGTCCAAGGAGCTGCAAGAAATAGACATGGCTACAGTAGAAAGAACAAAGGGAACGAGTAGAGTAAGAGGTGGGCAGAGGCTGACCGCGTGGTGTCTTCTAGGTCATGTTTAAAACCAGATCTAAGGACAGAGGCACCCACTTAGCATTGCAGGGTTGTGTTGGGGACACAGGAGCTTCTCAGGTTGGCTGTGGATTGGGGGGTAAGGAGAGGAGAGGTGGGGGAAACCTCGTCAGGAGGTGACGGCAGGGGTCCAGGAGAGGGCTGATGCTGTCTTGAACTAAGCGTTGGCAAAGGATTCGTAAGGGGACGAGGACGGTGTCGAGGGGGAGTCCTGGATTCCTGCCGTCAGGGTTTCCCACCTGTAAAGAGGAAAGACGTGGCTCTACGTTCTCCTGGCAATGAGTGAATTCGTGGAGGCAAAACGTCTCCTCCTCGGGAAGGCACTGGAGTGAACTATACGAACAGCGTAAGAAAACTCCCCTCGACCAGATAGTTCTCCCCTGGCTCTACCCCGGGGTCCTTCAGGCTACCCATCCCCCTGCACAACCGTGCACAAAACTGCAGTGAGCATGATTTTGATTAGACTGCTCACTGCCAGCAGGGCTAGAGCAATAATGTGGGTAAGAACCAGAGGCAGGGGATGAAAGAGAAGACAGGATCCAGGCAGAGGGCCATGTCCCAGGAGCGCGGGAGACAGGCTGTAAACACCTGCGGAACAGTCAGGATCCGGTGGAGTTGAAGGTCTCTGAAGCTGGTTCTGACCTGGGACCTGGGGGAGCTCAGGTGCAGGAAGCTTCGAAGGACGTCGGTACTCTGTACCTGCAGAAGGGGCGCTCTCCAGAAACCTGCACAGTCTCATTGGTGTTGGCCCCCCTCCCGGAGGCCCCCCCACCTCCATGAGATGGAGGGGGTAGAGCATGCTCAGGACACGGGAGGGTGTAGATACAGGAGCTGGGCAGACATACAGGGAACACTCTGGTGTCGTGCAGATGATCTGAGGGGTCTTTCTGGAGGAGGGGGAGGAGGAGGGGGAAGGGGGAAGGAAAGGGGAGGAGGACGAGGTACTTGGAAGGGGTCTGGGGACTGGATTCGTCAGCCCCGTCTGGCCCAGCTGGGAAATGCTCATTTAAGCTGATGGGAGTTGGGTGTTTGGTGCCCTTATCCCCCCTCCCATGCAGCTCCTCCGTCCAGAATCCCATCTTGCCTTTAGTTCCCAGCCCCCCCGCCCCGTTCCCCGTGAAATGATCATGGGCTCATCACTCTGCCCCCTCACTACTCTTTCTTCCTCTCCTACTCTAGCTGTTAGCCTCCTTGGCTTTGGAAGATCCGCTTGGCTCCCTGCTCCTCCCCTCAGCCCCAGGGGGGCCCATAGTGAACACCTGCTTGGTTGCTGGTGCAGGTCTGCCGCGCCCTCGGTTCATATACTGGCATTTGGGGAGAGGCTGCGTTGTTCCGGTGTTCCCTGAGCACTGCTCCACTCAAAAGAGCCCCCGCGAGGGACCAGCCTTGGCCTGCAAAGTACAGAAGTTCAAGTGCAGGAAGGATTTCCTGGGCCGTGAAGGGGGACAGCTGAGCAGCCGGGATTCGGGGAATCAGTTCACGTGCACCCTGCTGTGTGAAAGGTCCATGGCTGAGGGCCTGGCAGGGGAGGGTCAGGGTCTCAGAGAGGACGAAGGATCACAGTGATAGGCCGGCAAACAAAGGCTGTCAGCTCCATGCAGCTGGCCTGGACATTTGCACCGCACCGTGAACACAGCCCCTGGCCCAGAGGAGGCCTTCAGTGAATTCCTGCCGAGCGAAGAGAATCTTGGTTCCCGGCTCAGCTTCCCATTTGCTTTTCCTGAACCTGTAGTTCCCTATCTACAAGATGGAGTAGTAACCCCAGTACTTCCTGTCTCGTCACATTGTCACGGGGAGCAAATGGAACAACGATGGATGGCAAAAGCGTTCTGCGAACATGATACACAGGCCGCAGCCCAGCACCGTGCCTGGCCTGCGGTGGTGGTGGCTCGGCATTGAATAAATGAGCAAATGACTCGATCTCCACCAGATGTGAGCTCCACGTAGGCAGAGACCTGGCTTGTTTTTCCTTGGCATTATTTCCCCAGGGCCTGGCACACTGTAGGTGCCCAATAAATATTTGGATCGAATGAATGAATGAATGAATGATACGACTTAACCCTACCCTGGGAAACTTCTAGAACTTTGGAGGTGATGAGACAAACCACAGGGCCATGAACCCAAATGGCTTTGGAGGCATCAAGATCTCGGTCTGAGCGCTGACTTCACCAACAAGGTTGAAAGCGGCTGTTACTTCCCCATTTTATGCAGGAGGAAACAGGCTCAGAGAGATTGTGTTACTTACCCAAGGCCCCACAGCTCCCAGTAAGTGAAGGGATCAGGATGGGGGCCCAGGACTCTGCCTCCAAAGCCTGTGCTTTTTCCTACCATAGAAGGTTCTTGCTGTAGCTGGTCCGTTGGGACAATGGCCTCTATGACTGTCTACTTGACAAGCTGGAATAGTCTGTTGGGGGGAGCTCTCCTAGTCGCATACCATCTCAGAGACCCCCCCCCCCCCAGTTGGGGACTGCTGGGACCAATGAGAGGCCAAGATCTATTCAGGGTGTATCAGGTCCAGAAATGCACACACTTTGCCCGTGACATCCGTGTTCAGATGCGGAGACAACATATGGAGGGGAGCTGTTGGAGGGCTCTCCTGGCCCAGGGTCTCTGTCATACCCCCTCAAAGCCACACCTCCTCTCTGGCACCCTGGGCCAGTGCTGCTCCCTGAATGCTTGCTCCCTGAGTGGTTCCTTAGGCAGGGCCGGGTCGTGTCACAGCTGCCCTTCCCCTCCCTGAATGGACTTGGGGCTTTACCATTCAGTTCCCTGCTTCCCCAGGTATGTTTCATTGAACTGTATTTTGGCTGTTGATAGGTATTTCTTGCAAAAAAGACGGTGTGTGACGGCGTAAGTTTGGGAAGCTGTAAACAAGCTGGAACCCTGCAGGACTTCTCAGGGCCTTTATTGCGCTTATGTTGGACTGTGAATCTCCGAGGGGTGGGGAGTTCCAACAAAGAGCATTTTCCCAAGCGTGCTAGCCCCCAAACTCTTTCTTCAGGAGCATCGCGTGGGATTGGTGTGCTCCCGGGCACACTTTGGGGATTATTGCTGTGGCTGTGAAGAGTCCTTGAAGGCATTTAAGCAGAGTTAGAGGATCCGGTTGGTGTTTCTCGGAAGACCACTGGGTGGACCGCGGGAGCCAAGACAGGGGCTGAGGAAGCCCTTAGGAGGCTGAACTGACAGTCTTCGAAAGAGGAGCCTGGGGGCGCCTGGGTGGCTTGGTCGGTTAAGCGTCTGACTTCGGCTCAGGTCATGATCTCACGGTCCGTGAGTTCGAGCCCCGCGTCGGGCTCTGTGCTGACAGCTCAGAGCCTGGAGCCTGTTTCCGATTCTGTGTCTCCCTCTCTCTCTGACCCTCCCCTGTTCATGCTCTGTCTCTCTCTGTCTCAAAAATAAATAAACGTTTAAAAAAATATATTAAAAAAAGAGGAGCCTTGTCCGTGTCCGCCTGCTGTGCCAAACTTAGGTCTCTGTCCCCAGTGAGCTCGCAGTCGGGGTGATGTGGGAGAGGCCAAGGTCCTACCAGGAATTCCGGGGCAGAAGATGCTAAGTGCTATAAGCACCTCCGATCCAAGAAGACTTCCTGGTGACTTCCTCAATTGGCAGCCCAGAGCTCTAGCCGCGCTCCTGTCCTGTCTCTTTTCAAGAATCAGTGAATTATTTGAGATGAGCTCAGGGGGTCCTTTGCTGTTTTTTCACCTTTACTGGGGGAGGGGGGGCTGATGGTCTCCGCCTTCATCCCCCAAAGTACCATGGAGTCATGCTACTTCCCCACTGGGACACAGAGACCCAAGTCATGAGACTCAGGTCTACGGCGTAAGTGGCAACGCCTAGTTTATTTTTAGTCTATCCTGCTGGCAAAGGTCCCGTCTCTTGGCACCGAGGCCAGCTTAGATGAGGCCAGGCTGGGGCGCAGGGCGCAGTACCACCAGCGTCCTCCCCTCTCCCTGCCTCTGCTCTGACTCCTGCTCTGCAGCTCTAGTTCATGGGGAAATGGGCTACTGCCACACCCACTCCGGCTCCCCAGGCAGCTACGAAGTCCCCAGAAAAACTGGACAAAAGCCTAGACTCCCTTCGCCATCCCTCCCAAGAGCCAGCTTAGGGGACTGGGAGTTCCGCCTAAATCTCAGATCCAGCCTGGGTATTTGTCCAGCTGTTGTGGCGGTTGGGGTTCCCTGGACCTCACGTAGACAAGGGGTACTTGGGTCTTGTCCTCCGATCTGCTGAAATCCTCGAGCCCCCTCCTCCTTGAGGGTCTTCTGTGGGTTTCACAGTTGGAAGCGTTAGAAACTCCTTTTCCACTCTGTGCCTACAGGCTGAATTTGAATGGAATCCCTCCCCCAAGCTCTCCTCTCTCTTTGGCACTAACCCAGAAAACAGGTCTGTTTTCCAGCGCAAAATCTGATTGGGTCACTCCCCTCTTCAACAACCTTCAGTGGCTCCCTATTGGCTTCAGGATAAAATTATCCTTAGAATGACATAAAAAGCCCTTGGCCAAGCAGCTCCTGCTTACTCTTGAAGCGTCTCTCCTCCTTCTCAGCCACTTTAAGCTTCAGGTATTTGGATTGAGTGAATGAGTGAATGACGAGACTTGACCCTGCCCTTGGAAACTTCTAGAACCTCCGAGGTGATGAGACAAACCACAAGAGCAATGACCCCAATGAACTCTTGGCTTCGGAGGCATCGAGATCTGGGTTTGAATCCTGAATCTCGTTGCACTGGCCCCCCCCCCCCCACAGGTCCATGGTCCACCCCTGTTGCTGGTGACTTTTTTTTTTTTTTTTTTTCTGCTTAGAACATTTTCCTCCTACTGGTTTACCCAGCAAATTCCTATCTGGCCTTCAGTTCTAGGCTCAAGTTCTAACTCCTCTGTGAAGCCCTTTCCTGTTCTCTGAGCATTTCCTATGTATGTGCCAGGCCCCTGTGCCAAGCATTCTCTGTGTACCACGATTTAATTTTTCTTGTGCTTCCGTGTCTGTCGTCCCACCGAACTGTCAGCTTCTCAAAGGCAGGGGACAGAGGTGGGCGGTTAATGCTGGGGGAGGAAGAATGGAAGAACTTGAGGGGGGGCGGGGCTCCGCAGGGTTCCCCACCCGAGCCACGCCAGCCCTGTGTAGTTAGTAATTCATTAGCAACTAGTTACCGATTGCTGCCGTAACTAATTACCACGGATCTCATGGCTTAGAAAACATACACAGGTCAGAGGTCAGAAATCTGAAATGGGTCAGCAGGACTGGCTCCTTCTGAAGGGGAGAATCGTTTCCTTGCCATTTCCAGTGACTAGACGTTGCCCGCACGCCTTGGCTCCCGGGTCCTCGCTCACACCCCTCTGATAGCGGCTCTCATCGCCACATCTCTGTGACTCTCCTGCCTCCCTCTTTCCCTTATAAGGACTCTCGTGATTACGCTGAGCTCCGATATGATCATCCTGGATCATCCCCAAAACAAAATCCTGAATTTTTTTTTTTATTAAAAAAAATTTTTTTAATGTTAATTTATTCTTGAGAGAGAGGCAGACAGAGACAGGGTGTGAGTGGGGGAGGGCCAGAGAGAGAGAGGGAGACACAGAATCGGAAGCAGGCTCCAGGCTCCGAGGTGTCAGCACAGAGCCCGGCGCGGGGCTCGAACTCATAAACTGTGAGATCGACTGAGGCACCCAGGTGCCCCAGCAAAATCCTTCATTTGATCCCATCTGCAAAGTCCTTTTTGCCATGTAAAGTAATGCATTTACAGGTTCCAGGGATTAGAACATGGACATCTTTGGGCAGGGGGTGGGGGTGAGGGGCCGGTGCCATGATTCTGCCTGCTCCATGCCGGAAACTGAGAACGGGTCAATTTGGGAAGAAGGAAAGTGTTTGGAGTCTCAAATGACACCCCTGTCTGGCCTGAGTTTCCTCGTTTGTAATCAAAGGAATGGTGCCACAGGGTCCCTGATGTACTCTTGGGGACATTTTATGAGCCCAAGATTCTACCTCTGCGGCAGGAGAGGATGAGGTGGGAACACTTCCTCCTGCACAGGTGACATCTGCCCATTCAACTTTGACTCTGACTTATCCTCAAAACCCTCCCCCCCCCCCCCCACCTGCCTGCTCCCGAGACCATGGGTGGTGCCAGGGACCGCTCCTTCCCCGGTGCCCTTGCCTTCTTTTCCTGGGACGGGATGGAGGGCTCTGTCTGGGTGCTCTGTGTACCCACGGAGCCCCGACACATGGCTCAAATGGGGACGCAGGCGCCCCCCCCCCCCAGGTCAGTCAGGTGCCCTCAGCAGGCAAAGCCACAGGGTTAAAAATGGCACTGCTTCTCACTCACAGCTTTTTCAGGGAAAGGTTAGAGAAATTTAACTGGGAGACCAAATATTTGCATATAGAACGCCACGGGTGCCTTACGGTGTAGAATACAAAATTGGCTAGAATTTTGGAAACAAAACTGGAGAACTCATCGCGGGACAGCCACTGGAGGAAAAGCTGGAGGAAGCAAGGCAGAGGTCCCTACTGGGGGGCCCTGGAGAGGCTGCGAGGAGGAGTTGAGAGAGAAAACAGGTGTATGTTGCGGGACAACCGGGAGTGAGCGAATAGAGGAGATTAAGGGCAAATCTGCGCTGCGTGGGGCCTGGGGGGAGGCGGGGGGGATGAGGAAGATGCCCCTCCCACTCTCCCCATCTGTTGCCCCTGCTTCGGCCTTGGCCTCCCCCGGCCCTTCCTCCAGAGCCTTCACCGGGACCTTGTGCAAGAGAGGCAGATGTTTCCAGATGAGGCCAGATGCTGAGACTCGGGGCGCGGGTTGGCCCCTGTGGGCTCGGAGGGGTGGGGGGGGAATGAAGGAGGTACAGGAAATGAGCGAGGAGGGAGTGTGATCTCTAGCCAGGGGTCTCCGCTAATCCTCACCACAACTGGGGAGGCAGGTGTCAGGTCCGTTTTTACAGATGAGTCAACTGAGATTCCGCACGACCCACTTTCCCGCCCCACCCCTTACCACTGAGTCCGCCCTTCAGACGGATCAAGCACTCAGGGCCCTCCTGTAAGGCCCC